TTTAATGTTTGATAACCAATTTATCTAGTAGTTACCAATACGACCAATAGGAGCAGAGCTGCAATGAGAAATGTTGCAGACGAAGTTGCGCTGATCAACTAGTTAATATATACATATTTCTCATATTTAGTATATTTTTAAACAGTCGCTTACATGTTATACTATACCCAACACACAAAAATACCAATATATTGACTACATAATAAATTTTATATATCGTTTTACGTCAAGGGTGAAATACAGCTATTACTTGATGTATTTATATTATTTTTACGTATAATTAGTAAAAATCACGGGATCTTACCACGTTTTATATTTATTTGTTGGGATCGGTACCCAATCACTGGATTGAACTACACCAACCAAAAGTATTAACATCAGAACGGCATTATATCCCATACGGCTATAGGCAGGCTCTCTAATGCCTGGAATCCAGTGATTGGTTTAATTAAACAAAAACAAAACACGCGATCGAAAAGTGTATTAAATGTACGTGAAGATACTGTGAGTACAGTTTGCCGAGATGAATATCGAGCGAGTTCCAGTAGTAGCAACAAACGAAGACGTGTGAAGGTAGACGCATATGTCTGCCCATAAAAAGATTTCATTTTCCATCTACCCACTGCTCTTCAGTTTACCGTGATCATGGTGGTCGAAACACTACCGAAATATCGGGAACTCGGCAAATAAATATAAAACGTGGTAAGATCCTGTGATTTTTACTAATTATACGTATAAATAATGACCGCGTCAAGTTTAAAACAGTTTATATTATTTTGTTTGATTCCGTTACCATTTGCATGTGTTGGTACAAATATTCGGTGTGCAAACTTGCCTACCGTTACGACCTCTAATGGCGATCAAAATCGTTTGGTCGCCGAAGAGTCAACACTAGGCTTCCGAGCTATATCCAAACTCTATTCAACGCCTGATCATGCCTCTAGAGGCGAAACACTTCGCAATATGGGTGTAGACTTAATAACGGCCAGAATTTGATCACCAATAGAGAAGGTCGTTTCCAGTAGCGGTGGTCAGGTTTCCGCACTGAATATTTGTGGTCTCAGACATGCTAATTGTATCGGAATTAAACAAAATATAAATCCATTACGTAGTGAAATGGACTTCCGCAAAATAACATCTAATTCGAATAAATATATACGAAATACAGTTGTCACTATGTGACGTGACCGATTAGGGGCTCCACACTTTATGACACACTTTAACACGTTAATCGCCACAATAATATCTGAAAATTTTCACATGTTCAAATTCAAATGTATCAAGGAAACTTGATGTATCACAGAACATTTTTTTCTTTACCAATCTTTTCGGAAATACACTATTTCTTATGTGACATATATATGACTGACATGGCCCTATATTAAAACATTTTTCTCGACAAGCCGTGTCAGTGTTATATGTCTGACGCATCCAAACAAGATACAACAAGTATTAACGTGTTGTTTTGAACACAGAGCCTTCTACCAAATCGCGTACGTCAGACATATATGTCTGACTTGGCTCATGTAGAACTTCTTAGCGACAGAGACATGTGACTGAGATGGCGATTAACGTGTTAAGGGATGTAAACGACTTCCAAATTCATTCGAGCTTAATTGGCTTGGGATCGATGTAAATTGTTTATTTGTTTTACTAGCTACTCGCCTTGCCTTCGCACGGGTGTACATGTATTATACATATAAACATTCCTCTCGATTCACTCTATCTATTAAAAAAACCGCTTCAAATTCCGTTGCGTAGTTTTAAAGATTTAAGCATACATAGGGACAGACAGCGACAGCGACTTTGCTTTATACTGTAATGATGAATATTGAAATATTCTGTCTTATTTTCCTTTCCCCTACATTTCTATTTCAAAAAAATCAAGCGAGATTTGTCTTAATTTACTGTCTAAAACATTAAATTTTGAACCCCTGCTACCCTTTGGAGGATCTTAGATTTTCTGACGTCAGTTCAATTTTAGTTTAATATAACATTGTCTTCATTTTCGGTCGTTTAAGTCATGAAATCTTGGACCCCTTAATACCCTTGGGATTGATCTTAGGTTTTCTGACGTCACTTTAATTTTAGTACAACACATTTTTTTACAATGTAATCTTACATTGACACGGGTCGAAGGGTAAGGGTTGAAAAGGGATGAGCCGATAAATTTTTGTCTGTCAGTTTATTCATGCTAATGTCTTAAACGGTTGGACCAATTTTGACAGGAATTTCACTCGCTAGCTAATATTGTAAGAAGTAAATTAGGATACTTTTATTTTTAAAAAAATTAATAAATAGTTAAATTCACGCGGAAAAAGTACAAGAACAGCAAGTAATTAAAAAGCTTTATAAACAGATTTTACAGTTTCTTGCAAGAATACTATATTCAGTAAATATATATAATTTTAACACACTTCACAAAAGTGTAGTTTTACTGTGATATTTTTTAATTATATCTTGGTTTGAGATGAGCTTGTCATTATCAAGATCACTCCATGTCACAGTTCGGGTGCCTGTCCATGTGTCAGGTCAGAGAGGGAACTCCTCCCAGTTCCCGGGCCTCGTGACCCTGGTGTAGGTTTTAAGGGGCCCCTTGCCGACATACGTCTACTCACATTCATTGCGTGATTCTGTTTCCCTTTTATATTCGTCCAAATAAATTGGTCTCTAAAATTTCTCTACTATCAATATTCGATTTAGTTTTATTATAGATTATACCATATGACTTTTTTACCGTTCGGAAAAACTTAAGACATACAATTTTTTTACTTAATTCTGATACTGTCAGCCACTGGCCTTTACAGCTTCACCGGACGATAGAAGCGAGTGCAGATGGCACTCCAAACCAAAGGAAAGACTTATGGAGCGGCTGAAGGACAACTCCCGTCTGACGGATACGACTTTACTTTTGAATAGAACAAGAAATGAGCCGAACTGGTCGAGTTATGGCCACTGATTATACCATTTCCTTTTGACAAAATTGCAATAACATATGCTGGTGGTCACTCTATTCTGCCAAATTTGAATTTAAATGAATCTGTATTATTGTAAACATGTACAAACTCATTTGAAAAGAATACGATCTGAGTTTCTTGTCAGTTCTTCTCATCTCGAAATCATTCCGAACTGACGGTAGATTTGACATATCAAGAGTCTGTAATAGACCTACATGAATAAAGATATTTTGAATGGAAATTAAGCCATTTTTTTCGTACGGTAAGAAAACATCATCCGGTATAGAATAGAAATATAAAGTCTAACCAAAACAGTGCTCAATAAATTTAAAGACAATAACTATAGATAATAAATATCTTATCTATGGTAAAATAAAACATAAATATGTTATATTATAGTTTTTTTAATGGATTGTGCGAAAGATGTGAATAAAAGGAGAGTATGCTCAGATATGACGGCCGATAGAGATCAGTGGAAGAGAATGACATACTGCGACGACCACAAATAATGGGATAAAGGGAAGGCGATGATGATGATGATGATGATGATGACGATGATGACGATGATGGTGATGATGGTGATGATGATGATGATGATTATACTTTTTTTATACGTTATAGGAATAGCATAAAGGCTGACGGCTCTGATGGTAAGTGGTAACTTAACACTACGGACATCACGTTATCATGTGACACCCGTGATACCACTCATGTGTTACCATTCTAGAGGACTAAGTAATGCCTCTGATACTGAAACTAGTGTGACAGTGTATACCATCAGCCCAGGCGGATGCTATATTCCAATCCAGTACAAAAAAAATGGTTGCTTATTGTCTATGTTATTTGTAGACATCTCAAATAATTGAGCATTGTTTTCGTTAAACTCTACATACCATAAACTATCTACTCTACAAATTTAATATAGATACTTCATTGTCTAGAACTAAATTATTTTTTTTATAAATTCAATTTAGAAAGTACAGGCGACAAAATAGTATTTTTTTTTATCGTAAATATTTATATTATATTTCGAATTTATACGTCTAAATTGCTAAATTTATTATTAGGAATAGAATATACAGGGTGAGCTATAAAGTGTACAAGGCAAAAACTAGCGAAAACCATATAACCTACTTAAGAAACATAAAGAAAGTCGACGGCCTCGGTGGTCTAGCGGTGTGGCATACCGCCTTCCGATGGTCACGGGTTCGATTCCTCTCACGGTACAAACATTTCTATTCATGAATATGATTGTTTGTATCGGCCTGGCTGTTTTCTATGTATAATATGTATGTATTTACGAATCACAATCTATGTATTTGTATCAGTTATCTAGTCCCCATAACACAAGCTTTAGCTAACTTAACTTGGGTCTAGATGGCGCTGTGTGAATTGTCCTGAGATTATTATTATAATACAAGAAACTGAATGCCGTTCACTAAAAAAAAAAATTACAACTAAATTGATCACGTGACCTAGCAATTTATATGCAGATTTTTTAAAAGATAATTTATATTTTCTCCCTTTACTTCTTTCGGAAGGAAGGAATTAATGGAATAGGAATAGCAAACAGGTTGACAGCCCTGATGGTAAGTGGTAACCGTCGGCTATACATGAACAGCACTACGGACATCATGTTATCATGTGACACCCGGAAGGCGATGATGATATGATGATGATGGTCATCATAATCATCATGATTATAATACTTTTTTTATATGTTATAGGAATAGCAAACAGGTTGACAGCCCTGATGGTAAGTGGTAACCGTCGTATATACCTGAACAGCACTAAGGACGTCATGTTATCATGTGACACCCGGAAGGCGATGATGATATGATGATGATGGTCATCATAATCATCATGATTATAATACTTTTTTTATGTTATAGGAATAGCAAACAGGCTGACAACCCTGATGGTAAGTGGTAACCGTCGTATATATCTCTACGGACGTCATGTTACATGAACAGTCATCATAATCATCATGGACATCAAACGTTCATAAGTGTAACCGGGTATGAGACATCACGTCATCATAGGGTATGATACCACTCATGCCTTGTCATTCCAAAGGACTGAATCGTGCCCCTAATTTCAGGCAAGTTTTAGCATTAAATGATTGCATTGTACACCTTTATAACAAACCCTGTTAAACTTAATCATATCGACAACCAAAATAAACTCAATCGATAAAAGAACATCACTAGTAACGTCAAATTTGTACATCACTATACTAGAACCATTTTTACCGATTTTTTTTAAATAAACCTACTTCGCAGAGTTCTTCCTTTGCACTGCCGGTTTTTCCGCCTTCGGTTTTTTCTGCTCGACCTTCTGTTCCGGTTTTTTTTCTGTTTTCAGTGGAGGCGGGGTTGTTTTGTCTGTCGCTGGGGGGGTGCTTGGTTTCTTGGGCTTGTTGGCTTTCGCGGCGGCCGCGTAGTTAATAGGTTTGATGCCCGGCGTGCTTGGTTCTTCGACGGGCGTCGGAGCGGACGGTAACTGTGGCTATAAAAAAATATAAAATAAATAAATAACTCTGGTCAATTAACACAGCGCCATCTAGTCCTGCGGTAAACAGAGCTTGTGTTATGTGTACTACTTGTGGGGACTGGTTTGATCGGGTTGAGAACACTGATAGACTATTTGCTTTTGCAGTAGCATATACTGGGGTCACTTAAGTCTCCAAAAAATTGAATTTAAAAATGAATCTGTATTATTGTAAACATGTATAACATTTATTTGAAAAGAATACGAGCTGAGTTTCTTCTCAGTTCTTTTCATCTCGAAATCATATCATAGGTGTCTGTAATAGACCTACATGAATAAAGATTGCTCATTCTTCTTGTGATGAGACAGCTTTCTTGAGTTTGCTTTCATGAATGACTATTCAAAAGTGCTTCAATGTAAGTTTATTTGAATAAATAATTTTCTATCCTATTCTTAGATCATCTATAATATATAAAGCTGCATTACGGTCACTGACTGATTGACATAGTTGTTCTCCCAGAAGCAGTGCCGGGGGGTCGTGACGATGTATGGGGGAAGTGTACCTCTCGCTAGGGTGACCACGAGAAAATTCCGAAAGTTGGGAAAATCCAAGATGGCGGACCAAGATGGCGGCTGAACTTTGTCAATTTCCGTCGGATCGATTTCGTTCAAGCGGTAGTTCGTAGCGGGCCGCAAACAGTTGCATTTCAGGTTAAAAGAAAAAAATAAAATCCAAGATGGCGGCGTGAAAAATGAAAATGAAAATTGTAATTTTTCGAGGCTTTCAAAAACCGAAATTCCCAGGGTAGTTGCGGGGGTGCTGGCGACTCCGGTTGTGGGGCATAGGAAACTCGAAGGACCCGGCCTCTAGGGAAAATTATGAAATTTCGAAAATCCAAGATGGCCGACGAGTTGGGGGCGTGTGAAATTGGTCCTAAAAATCCGGATTATTTCCAAAGTCATTTTTTAGGTACAGGGCAACCCCGCAGCGAGTCGGCTTCTATGGGGCGATGATGGGTCTCGGTAAGAAGTATTGCCAGCGCTAAAAAGAATTCCCGAATTTGGGGTAATTTGGGAGAAATGGTCCAAAAAGTGGGAAAAATTTTTTCGACATTTTTGACAAAAGAGGCATCAATATATCGAGAAACATCCCCTAAAGGGTTTTAGGTGGGTTTTGTTGGAATTTGCTGGCAACACCCATACATGGTTTGACCAAAATAGAAATTGGGGTGTCTCTCCAAAAACTGAAATTCCTAGGGTACTTGCGGGGATGCTACCGATCCCTATTGTAGGGCATTGGGAGGCTGAAAGACCCGGCCTCTAGGGAAAATTATGAAATTTCAGAAATCCAAGATGGCGGCCAAGCTATGGGAGATTAAGTTTTTGGAAAAATTTTGGGATATTTTCAATCGCGTTTTTGATGCACATGGCAACCTCGAAGCTTGTCTCTTCCTACGGACTTGGATAACTCTAAGTAGGAAGGTTTATCAAGCCTTCAAAAAATTTCCCCGATTTTGGGTTAATTTTGGAAAAAAGTCCCAAAAAGTGGGAAAAATTTTTTTCGACATTTTAAATGAAGAAGCCTTGGTGATCTAACGAAAATCGTCCCCCGAAGGGGTTTAGGTGGATTTTATCGATATTTGCTGGCAACACCCATACATCATGATACAAATTTTGAAATTGAGGTCTAGCTTCAAAAACTGAAATTGATAGGGTACCTACGAGTATGCTAGCTCAACGCACTGTACGGCGTCGGATAGCCGAAGGACCCGACATCTAGGGAAAATTATGAAATTTTAGAAATCCAAGATGGCGGCAGAGATAGGGGAGTTTTGCTTTTCGGAGTAAAATTGGGATATTTGTAAATGTAGTTTTAGGACACTTGGCAACCCCACAGCCAGTCGACTTCTATGGAGAGATGATGTGTCTCAACACAAAGTATTACCTGGTATAAAAATTTTCCCCGATTTTAGGGTAATTGTTGAGATAGGTCCTAAAAAGTGGGAAAATTTTTTTTCGATATTTCAAACAAAAGAATGATGAAAATCTGTCAAAAACAATCCCCCTATTGATTTTAGGTGGTTTTTGTCAGAATTATCTGGCAACACCTTACATCAGTATTCTTAGAGAATAGTACTAGAAGGAGTCACCGAGGCTCTATACAATGTATGAACGAAATGTTTCTGTCACTAAGGTGAATACGTCAAAAGTATTAAAAAGTAAAAATCTAAGATGGCGGCCGAGTTAGGGTACTTAATTTATGTTGACAATTTTAGGGACTTTTTAAAATTCAATTTTTGGGGTACAATTAATCCCTGCAGCGAGTTGACTTCTATAGAGCAATGGAAACTCTCGGTGGAAAATTTTACCTGGTCTAAAAATTTTCCCCGATTTTGGGGTAATTTCAGAGAAAAGTAAAAAAACGTGGGAATTTTTTTTTTCGTTAATTTGAACAAAACAGTGATGAGCATTGGTTCAAAATCATCCCCCAAAAGGATCCTAGGTGGTTTTTGTCAAAATCATCTGGCAGCACCATACATCGATTTTCATAGTAAACCGTACTAAGGAACTAGAGGTGTAACTTGGGCTCTGTACAATGTATGTATGAAGTGTTTCTGTCACCAAAATGTATGTGTTAAAAGTATTTAAAAAGGAAAAATCCAAGATGGCGGCCGAATTAGGATACTTTATTTATTATGACAATTTTAAGGTCTTTTTAGTAAATTCAGTTTTGTGGCACCTATCAACCCTGCAGCGAACTGACTTCTATTGAGGAATGGAAACTCTCGGTGCGAAGTATTAACTAATTTTCATAGTAAACAGTACTAAGGAAGTACTAGAAGGAGTCACCTTACATCTGTACAATGTATGGACAAAATGTTTCTGTCACCAAAGTGGATAAGTTAAAAGTATTTAAAAAAGGAAAAATCCAAGGTGGCGGCCGAGTTTGAGTATTTTTTCTCTGATGATAAATTTACCTGGCTTCCCTGCAGCGAGTCGACCTTTATTGAGCCGTGGTAGATTTCGGTTCGAAATATTACCTAGGTTACAAATGTTCCCCGTTTTTTGGGTAATTTTGCAAACCCAAAATGTGGGATTTTTTTTTCGACAAACTATATATAAGAGCAACGGAGATCTATAATAAATATCATCTTAATAGTTATATGCGAATTTTTATAAAATTAGGTGGCATGCATCGATTTTCGTAAAAAGTAATATTTACTAAGGACCCACTAGAAGGATCGTGTCTCTGTACAATATATGGACGAAAAAGGAAAAATGGTATGAAAATTTTCCCCGATTTTGGGTAATTTAGAAGACAAGTCCAAAATGTGGGATTTTTTTTTCGATATTTCAAACAAAATAATGATGGATATCTGTCAAAAATCATCCCCTTATTGGTTTTTCGTGGTTTTTGTCAGAATTATTTGGCAACATCTTAGATCAGTTTTCTTAGGGAATAGTACAAGAAGAAGTCATCGAGACTCTACATAATGTATGGACGAAATGTTTCTGTTATTAGGGTGAATACGTCAAAAGTATTAAGAAGTAAAAATCCATGGCGGCCGAGTTAGGGTACTTTATTTAATTCAGTTTTCATGTACCCATCGTCACTGCAGCGAGTTGACTTTTATGGAGCAGTGGAAACTCTCGGTACGAAGCACTACCTGGTCTAAAAATTTTCCCCGATTTTAGGGTAATATCGGAGAGAAGTAAAAAACGTGGGATTTTTTGTTTCATCATTTTAGACCAAACAATGATAACGATCTGTCAAAAATAATCCCCAAGGGGTCTTAGGCGGTTTTTGTCAAAATGTGCTGGCAACACCATACATCGATCGATTTCCATTGTAAACAGTACTTAGGAACAACTAGAAGGAGTTACCTTGGCTCTGTACAATGTATGGACGAAATGTTTCTCACCAAGGTGTATATGTTAAAACTATTTAAAAAGCAATCATTCAAGATAGCGGCCGAGTTAGGGTACTTTATTCCCGATGACAAGTTTAGGGACGTTTTAAAACTCATTTTTGGGGTACTATTTTATTCCTTACAGCATGTTGACTTCTACGGAGCAAAGATAAGAAGAATTATATAGGCTACAAATTTTCCCCGATTTTCGGGTAATTTAGCAAACCCAAAATGTGGGAAATTTTTTCGACATTTTTTTAAAAATAAAAGTGACGGGTATCTATTATAAATCTCATCTTAATAGTTTTATGCAATTTTTTGTAAAATTAGGGGGCAACACCAGGCATAGATTTTCGTAGAAAGTAATATTTACTAAGGACCCACTAAAAGGACCGTGTCTCTGTACAATATGTGGACGAAATATATCTGTCGTAATGTAATATATATGTCAGAAGTATCAAAATGGAAAAATCCAAGATGGCCGCCGAGGTTGACTTTGAACAAAATTTGGAAGATTTTTTTATTTTGGTACATAGTAACCATGCAGCGAGTCCGCTTTTATGGGATGGCATTGAATCTCAGTATTGCCAGCGCTAAAAACTTTCCCCGATTTTAATATTTATGATATTTTAATTAAAAGAGTGATGAGTGGTTATTATTTATCATAGGTCCTTTACCTACGATAAATAATAACCCTAAGGCTTTTATCAAAATTATTTGGAAAACTTTATTATGAAAACCGATGTAAGTTGTTACATCGGTTATACTAGACTATTAGAAGGAGTTGACAATGTATGGACGAAATGTTTTTGCCACCCTGGTAGCTAAGCCAAAATAAAAAAAAATAAAAATTCAATACTGCGGCCGAAGACGTCAATTTTTTGCCTATACCTTAGTATAGGTGACCACAAATATCAAATTAGTTTTGGATTGTGACATAAAAACTCACACAAATATTGAACATTTTCGATGTCGAAATTATTTTCAGGAATGCTGTTCTGAATAATTTGTGTCTTTGGATTTTGTAATTTGAAGATTGCAAAATGTGTAAAATTTTCAGATTGTAAATGATGAGAATAAGTTTTGTCCATACATTTCTTTCATTGT